CATTTCTTCCGTCCCTACACAATATGTAATATCATGCTTTAGTGAACACGACCTTTCATTTTGTCAAGTCTGTATGTTAAGTCTGTGCTTCATATTGTATTTAAAAAAAGGAAAAAATAATTTGAGCAATACCGTAATTACTTTCCCTTGTATATAATTGATGTTTACTTTATCTGATATTGTTCAGTAAAGGCCATTTAGTAAGTGCCCTTCCACTGATTTCCCACCAGAGCTAGGCATTAAGGAGGTCAGTAAAACTGCCTCATCTGTTTTATATTTAAATCCATGTATAAAGATTCAGGAATACAGAATTATTTTCAAGACTGTTTGACAAGACAGATTTTTTTAACTTACCCAAAATCAACTTTTCCTTATCTAGAGATGTATGAGAGCAGCTCCATCCTATTGTATTTACCTTTGAAAAGTTTGAGTTTGAACGCTTTTAAAAAGAAGATTTCAAAGAGCATTGTTTGACTCTTACTCAAGATATCTCTTATCAGAGTTAGTACATTCAAGGCATTGGCATAGCTTTCAAACCATTTTATGTCAGACACATGGTAGACATTCCAGATTTGACACATCAGTGGTGAAAATGATCAATGGAATTCCTTTTTTGAATTGTGCCATATCTTCTTTTTATTAGGGGGGAGGTGGGGTAGCTCAATGGTTAAAGCGTTCGCTCATCACGCCGAAGACCCAGGTTCGATTCTCAACCTGGGTACACTCTGTGAAGCCCATTTCTGGTGTCTCCCACCGTTATATTGCTGGAATATTGCTAAAAGCGGCGTAAAACCCAACTCACTCATTCACTGTTTTTATTAGGTGAACAATTGACTTGCCTGTGTATGTGTTTGTGATGGGTGGGGCAGGATACACTAACAGTTTTGCAGAAATGTATCATCACTACTTGGTTGTTATTTGTAAACACAAATAATAAAGTCAGACTACTAGATTGTCTGGTCCAGACTCGATTATTTACAGACCACTGCCATATAGCAAGAATATTGCTGGGTGTGGTGTTAAACAAAAATAAAGATAAAGTCAAAATGATTCAGTGGACTCGTTAATTGTTCTGAGTTTAGTTCCTCTTCAAGCTAGTTATTCTGACTATACATGTGGTTCTTAATGCCTAGTATGTCTGACCACCTCCGTGATGTAGTGGTTTAAGAGCGTCCGCCCGGAGAGCGGAAGGTCGCGGGTTCGATCCCCGGCCGCGTCATACCAAAAGACGTTAAAATATGATACTTGTTAGTCCTTGCCTGGCGCTCAGCATTAATGGGTACAACAAGGACTGGTCGGCTCGGAGTCAGTATAATGTGTGTGAGTGGGGTATTCATGCTTCACTGCGGCATGGTATCTCAGTGGGCTAGCACTATAAACCCAGCTTCAGTCTGGGCTAGTACAAGCAGCCGCACATACACATACATACACACACGCGTGCACGTCGTCATATGAGCGAAATATTCTCAAGCACGACATTAAACCCAATTCCACCACCACCACCTAGTATGTCTATTAGATCACATGTATCATATTTGTACCATTTGATGCTGGTATTACTGTAGGAGTATGTTAAATGTTGGAGAGACAAGGGTCAGCTGTGTTGCCTGTACAATGTCTTACATTAATCAATGAATATAATGAAATGGCACACTGACATATATACCCTATTTATATTACATATCTCAAGTGAGTTGAGACCTACCTTTTCTAATAATCCCTAAGATGTTGCAAACCATTTCAAAAGAATTATTGATTTCAAATATTTTCAATTCCATTGTGTATCAAAGTCTCATAGCAACGCATGAGTTATTTATCAGGCAACATTTTACACAAATATACTCCTGCAGTTGAAATTAACAATAGCAGAATGATGTTGATTTCATTCCCACGAATTATTGACAGCCAACCTGGCCTTCAACTGTAGAATATACACGAAGTTATAAAATGTCATGTTGGGTTGAATTTCATCTGGTAAATGCTGACAGGTAATAAAGTGTTTTGACCAAGCTGTGAAAATAAGATCAATAGCATACTAAATATCATCACAGCTTACAGATGCTCATAAAGTCTGTTGGGGTGATGGGTGGTCTGTTTCACACCCTGAATCACATTATTTTCCCTTTTGCCCGGCCCTATCTGCAATGCAAAAGCTCTAAGTGAAGCAAGTCTAGATATTCTTCAGGTTCACACTGGGGCTCCTTTCTTGTTTCTATCAAAATTCTATGTATTCAGAGACTATGTATTAGTCTTAGTGCTTTCCAATTTTGTGTTTTCTTTAACTTGTTTTGAGCTGTATATATGAGCTTCACATTGACATGTTTAAGCTTTGCTACAGGGCACTTCATTGTGTTAATATGAATCCCTACTAAACAGATGTGTTTGTTGTGAAAATTTGGACAGTAATTTAAAGTTTGAGGCTTAGTACAGGGGCACTGTATGACTGTCAAACAAGAGGTACCAGCGGACTGGTACAGAAGTTGGTCAAGGAACCTTTCAGGGGGTGGTCACAGTGCTTAATTGGAGCAGGGCCCATAACACACATCATGAAGCAATATACCTCATAATGTTTCTTGGTCCATGTTCATGGGCTGTCCTGTCGTCAGAGTTGCTGCAACTCTCTGTGCCGAGTTAGAACATTTGATCATGTTCTAATCCTGTTACTTGTTGATTATGTTTCTAGTTTTCTCAGCAAAATACTAAGGTGCTCAGAAAGTGGTAAATATCTGAGATGAGCATCACCTTGGACTTTCCTTCCACATTGAGCTGCCATGCAGATATCAATTGAGTACTGTTCAAAGTGGCATTAAACTCACACACTGTGAATGAGGTGTATATCTCTAAGAGGTCTTTGCAGTTATTAAATGAGCATCAATACAATTAAGACAAACACTTGAAACAGATAATTCTATTTATTTCTTACTAGTAATTAAAACCGTCTTATAATGACCATATATTAAGATCAATATTAGTAAATTTTTACAGTTACATTGCTACCCAATACTTTAGGGCATGTTTAACAAAGCCATTATTGTTATCATGTCATAGTGTTTGAACAAGGCTCAGTAAACCTCCTTAATTAACAATGTTCATATGGGAAGATCTATTTTGTACAATATTTTATGACTGACTGAATTAGTCAGGAATATATTTATCTGGCTAAACTAGAGAATAGTTCTTGCAGTTAATCACTGAAAAATTAATGTTTGATGAATTCACGAAATTTATTTCCCTTAATATTCTACAGACAATGACCTATCTAAATAATATATCTGCATGGTGTTATTTAGTGATATTTAGACTCACTGTTATGTCCATTGTTATCTGTGTATTTGCCATGTAAAATGAAATTATCTGTTTCTAGATATAATGCATAGTTAATCAGGGATTATGGTGTGTACGTTAAAACTAGAGTCATGATTAAATATAAGTTCTTTAAATGTACTGTTACTAATTCTGTCTGGTGACTCTTTATGCTCACAGAAAAAGCAACATTTATGCTTATATTTCAGCCTGATTTGAATCCTATTAGAGTTAATATTCACATTTATGATTTCTTTACTCACATGAAACTATGAAAGTGTTGTTGGTGTCATAATACAGTTCTTCTTTTGGATACAAACATGTAACACTGTATTGGCAGGGTGGAAGAGGCTCAATATAAGGGAGATAACTCTTGCTACCTTCTTGCCTTGTATTGTATTGAAACAGTTCTGCTATGAAAGTATGGTTGGTGTCGTAATACAGCTCTCCTTATGGATACAAACATATAACACTATAATTATTGTCAAGGTGCAAGAGCGACTCAATATAAGGGAGACAACTCTTGTTACCTTCTTGCCTTGTATTTTTGCTGAAACAGTTCTGCTATGAAAGTTGATTGTTGGTGTCGTAATACAGCTCTGCTTATGAATACAAACATATAACACTATAATTATTGTCAAGGTGCAAGAGCGACTCAATATAAGGGAGATAACTCTTGCTACCTTCTTGCCTTGTATTGTATTAAAACAGTTCTGCTATGAAAGTATGGTTGGTGTCATAATACAGCTCTCCTTATGGATACAAACATGGAACACTATAATTATTGTCAAGGTGAAGAGCGACTCAATATAAGGGAGACAACTCTTGTTACCTTCTTGCCTTGTATTTTTGCTGAAACAGTTCTGCTATGAAAGTATTGTTGGTGTCGTCTCTCCTTATGGATACAAACATGGAACACTATAATTATTGTCAAGGTGAAGAGCGACTCAATATAAGGGAGACAACTCTTGCTACCTTCTTGCCTTGTATTGTTCCTGAGACAGTTCTGCTATGAAAGTATTGTTGGTGTCGTAATACAGCTCTCCTTATGGATACAAACATGGAACACTATAATTATTGTCAAGGTGCAAGAGCGACTCAATATAAGGGAGACAACTCTTGCTACCTTCTTGCCTTGTATTGTTCCTGCGACAGTTCTGCTATGAAAGTATTGTTGGTGCCGTAATACAGCTCTCCTTATGGATACAAACATGGAACACTGTATTGTCAGGCTGCAAGAGAGACTCAATATAAGGGAGACAACTCTTGCTACCTTGTCTTGTGTGTTTCCTGAGAATGATTTGTATTTATTTACAGAAACAATTTTTCTCCTGTTGATAAGATACTAGACCTGAGTTTGAAATACAGATTTTCTGCAAATGATTTAGATGAAAATTGGAATAGTTTGGTGTAACGTGGTTAAATTATTCAGTGATGATGCTGAACACAGTTCCATTATCTACAGTGATGTGATGCTTGAATTCACCTCTAAATATCTGCCATGATTTTGATGTAATATTCATGATATAGATAAAAGAACTGTTTAATTACTCACAAATAAATTCCAATGATTCCATCACACTGTTAAACAGATGACATTGCTTCAACAGTTTTACAGAAAATAATTAATTCCAAAACACATTTCCCTACTGTTGACACTGTATTTTCTAGTATCTGAACCTTTGTTTCTGTTTCAGAGAAAGGAAATTGACCAGTTGAAGAGAAACATCTGGTAAGTAAATGTCCGTAAATGAAATCTGTTTGGTCACAATGTGTATTGGTTTATTCAGCAAGAGACGCAGGCCATTGGCCCATGACACAGAAGTTGTATAGCAGCCACAATCATTTTTGCCTTCATTAACAGATTTGTTCTCAATTGCATAGAATTCTCAACATACATAGCCAACTTTCTTATAAGATCACTGTTATCATTGGACATTAAAATATTAAATTTAGCTAATGTTGGAAATACATAGTGTTTCCTTGGAATAAACTTCACGTAAATGGACATACGCCTTGCATACAAACAAGAAGTGGTACTCATCTTCGATATAGTTTCTTTTACAAACATCACAAATCTTTCTTTTCTTGGTACATTTCAATATCTACCCATTAATCTGGATGACTAGCAAACATGGGGGTTTGTTTCTTAGTTACTTAAAGCCACACTCAGTATTTCAGCTATAAATATACATGTCTGCAGCGTTCGAAATAACTGCCTGCCCAACTGTCCGGGACAGGTTATTTTCAACACGGACTGCCAGATTCTCAAATTCACCTGTCCGACAGTCAGGTTAAAATTTAGACATGTATATGAAGATATTTTGTTGGCATGTAGGTTTTGGTTAGGTCTGGCAAGTTTGACATCTAACAAGCCCTGTGGCCTGGCTGAAAGTTTGGGAGTTTCATACTCTGATGTCTGTAAATAATCCTGTGATCAGCATCATGCATATTGAGATTCAACAACATGCAGTCAACCAAGTCATCGAGTCAGACCACCTGATCCACATACTCGCCTATTACAACAGGTCTAGGTTGATGGTGACCATGTTCTGACCTGGAACCCTGATAGTGATGATGTTGTCACTTGCTCATTTCCCCACTATTCTATAACAAAACCATTTGAGGATATATCTTTTAACAGTTGCTGAATGCATGTCGCATTGCAGATTAAACACATTACATATTAACACTTACATAATTCATACCTGACTTTCAACATGCAACTTTCTCAATGCTTTACAACAAAACCAGTCAGAGCAGCTGTGGATAGTGTATAAAGGGGGGTAACTCTTTTAGGTCTAACACTGCCCAGTGATATATTAATGTATGAAGCACTAATAAAATCTCTTGTCATAAGCAGCACTACACTGTTCACAATTTATGGAAGTATAAAATTAAATCTAATTATTTTGAAACACATATATATTGAAATAGTGATTTTTAACAATTTCTTTAAGAGTATGTGCAAAATTATTTCTAAACATGACTTATAAATGGCAGTTTTTAGAGATCAAACCTCTTCAAAATGTAGTTGAAAGACTTAGAACCTCTTCTGTTGCAGTTCATGTGGAAAATGAAACTAGGAATTACAAGCCGTAATGACTGACTGGGTAGAATTTCACCATTTAGCTAAATAAATCTCAAAGGTTAAGTCAAAATTCCAGCAATTTCCAGTTTGTCCATGAAACGTTCAGTACGTTACTGCAACGTTAAAGGCCATTCCAAATTTTAATATTTTTAATATTCCATTTACAAGATAAACCGCTAATGCTATGCATTACATTTGATATATGAAATAGTACTTATATTTGTCTGGTTAAAAGCTACAACAAATCAAAATAGCAATACACCAATAATCCCAAATTTCCCACATTTGAGAACATTTGTGATGGATGTTCTAAATGATTCATGGACACTGACACATATAAATGTCTGTCTTGAACCTATAGTATATCAACTTCACGAACTGCTGTAACGTAGATGTTTTTCCTGGAAACAAACATATTAATCTTATTTAGATCTCTTAGTAGATTTATTAACCATAAAAAACGCGATTACATGAAATAGTCTTGTGGTGATGCTGTTATATTTATCTTCGCCAGCCAGGAGCTTGGCTGCTGGTCTCTCCGATGAAATTAAGCTCATATGTCTTGGCAAGAGATTCAATCAGCATGAGCTGGGAGAAAATGTCAACTTGGGTCAGGGATATAGTGGGCTTCTTTCCCAGAAATTATCCAGTCGAATTAGATTTGTTCAAATATCAGCTCTGTCTAGCATTTAATTACATAACAATAATTTGATCTGACATTTGAAGAGACAAAAGCTTTGATGTGCCTGCTGAATTTGATTGCTACGCAGCTCTTAGACAGTTATCAGTACACGATGCGAAAACGCTGAACCCTTATTGATTTTGAGCAAGATTAACCCATTTTGAGCTAAGACTTCCGTTATTTTTTATGTCATTGCTTTCTTTTATCTTTTATATTGTTTTCTCTGAATTATTTTTTTTGTGTGAAACATCACATGAACTTTTATATTCAACCTCATTCTCAGTTCTAAAACATGTAATAAACTTTCTGAAGTTAATGTTTTTATTTATTTTAAACTATAAAGATATTTTTAGTTTTTTTAAATGAAAATGATTTCTTACATAAATATTCAAGGAAACTGGTCCAGTGATTTAGAATCAAAAGATTCTGTGAGAAGAGTTACATCCCTTAGCTTTCATGGATCTGCTGATCGTGGTTAGAATCCCAGTTTAATGATGATTGTAATCCCTCATCTGCCTGCACGATACACATGATCATCATAGCCCCAGATTGATTTATGTTTTGCATTACTGAGACATCACTCACACATGACACTATCTGTATTGTACTGATTACGTTCAAGTAAGTGTTAAAGTTCTAGTTTTAAACTCAATTCATTCATGAATAATATTCCTACTTGTCTATTTACTTTTACAAATCCTTTAACAGATATAATGCTAAAGATATATCTAGAACCAAGGTTTTACCTTGACCGACACTTGGGGTCCAAGAGACCCTCAATTACAAATTTCAGGGGTCAGTACTGGAAATAGGAGGATATTGTAGAGTAAAGAAATTGTGCTGTTGGTGAAGCTGAAACATTTTAATATTCCTTTATAACAGTAATTTTAGATTTCTTTCAAAAATTTTGTATGATGTGTATTATTGAGCATCCCTCAAGACCCAATATAGATTTATTTCTGCATCCAGTTTATACATTTGCACCTAATGAACCTGTATCTCAGTGTCGCGTAAAACCATACAATACTTTAAATTGGTTGTTCAATTTGGAAAAGGTAGAAAAATTCTAAGAAAATATCTAAATATGTACATTTTATAATCCTCGTCCACTGCCCTTAGCATGTCAGTGGTTAACTGAGCCTGGCAACACTGAACTGTCAAAATCTGACAGCTGAATTTATGACACTATAAATGTCATAGCCCTGCCGATGCATAGGAGCGTGATGCATCTCTCATACCCAAATTGATTTCTTGTGTGATACAACATCCACATCTCTAGGCTGTCATTTACAAGAAATGCACATTTGAAAAATTATTATTTAACATTGCTCCAAATAACGAACAACCTCTAGAAAGTTTTTTCCCATTGTTGTACTTGTAAAGTTTTAAAAATCTTGAGACCCTGTCAGATGAAGTGAGGTTATTCATCATAGAGCTATTTTTTCCATGCCCATCAGATTGATTGAAAAGCCATTCCTGTATTCAAAACTGTTCATTCAAATATTTTTCAAATCCTGGATTAAGTATCATAAAGGGTTTATTTTTTTCGAGATTGTTCCTTTCACATGCAATGTTTGTATTTTTATCCCATCAATAATTTCAGTATTGAATATCAGGGCTTTAGTTGCCATAGTTACGTCAGGATCTCGGATCATGTTGTATACGTGTGTGTTTTTTAGCTGTTTATTTCAAAATTCTTTTGATTTGCAAAAGGAATTTAGGTGCATCTTTCGATATCAGAAACATGTTAAGAGAAAAACATGCAAAGATATGAACAAACTTGTATTTTATGCATTTCTGGTTTCAGTGATGGGCTATAACCTTCATCAGATCTTGCTATATCCTCCCTATGTGGAGAGGACAGCTAAATGTGATCAGATATTAAGTCTCTGACATTGTTTGTTGTGTGTCATGTCAGAGTTTGATTCTCAAGTCACAAATCATTGGTTTGTCTGGTCCAGAGTTGATAAAAAACCCATTTGATTGCAATTTTAAACTCTTGCTTGCTCACTCACTCATTCACTCATTCACTCAAATTAACCTTCAGTTAACATCATTACCAGTATATTTACCGATATACAGAACAAACTCTAGACAAATGGCACTCTTGGAGTAACGTGAACGTATATAGGCATACAGTCTTTCATTTCGGAAGTGTCAGGAAATTTTATCTTAGATTAACCAACCACAAATATGCTGTCATGTCGGGATGTTATAGTGTTACAGTGATGCCACCACACGTTTTTAAGCCAGGAAGTTTTGTAATTATTAAACAAATACATCATAGCTTTATAACTAGCAGCAATATGATCAGCTGGTGTATCAAGATGATGTACATTTCAGTCGTATTCAGCTGAAGTATGACCAGCTGGTGTATAAAGAAGTTGTACATTTCAGTCGTATTCAGCAGCAGTATCATCAGCTGGTGTATAAAGATGTTGTACATTTCAGTCGTATTCAGCAGCAGTATCATCAGCTGGTGTATAAAGATGTTGTACATTTCAGTCATATTCAGCAACAATATGATTCGTTTGTGTATAAAGATGTTGTACATTTCAGTCGTATTCAGCTGAAGTATCATCAGCAGTGTATAAAGAATGACCAGCTCAGGCAAGAGCTGGTGGATTTCAGTCATATTCAGCAACAAGGTTGTATGCTATGTACATTTCAGTCAGATTATTCAGCAGCAGTATGACCAATCAGATCAAGAGGGTGAGACCAATCAGATCAATAGGGTGAGTTTACCTTGTCAATTTCCAAGGATGCAAGAAGGTGTGTTTGTTGGCAGGATGCTGCTTTTAGCAATATTCCAGCAATATCACAGTAGGAGACACCAGAAATGGACTTCACACATTGTGGGGAATCGAACCCAGGTCTGCGGCATGATTCACAAACGCTTTAACCACTAGGCTACCCCACCTCCCCATTTACTAAAAGCAATGGATTCACATTACTTCATGTATAAAGCATGATGAAAAATAGAATTAATAATAAACAGAGCGACATTTCTGGCAAAACACAAAAATTGTTCAGTTTTTGAATAGCAGCTGCTTTTTGTATAAGAGTCACTAGTTAAGACTTAGAGTAATGTGACACACATTGCAAACATCATTCTACCCATTTATCATCTCAGGTAACTGTCAGGCTCGCTGACTTGGTTGAGCATGTCATCATATCCCATCTGTGTAGATCAATGCTCATGCTGTTGATCACTGGCTTTGTCTGGTCCTGACTTGATTATTTATAGACAGCCGCCATATAGCTGGAATATTGCTGAGTGTGGCATAAAACTAAACTCACTCACTCACTCACTCTTAGGCAACTGGTTCTACTGCTAGTTACATACATGTTACATACAATGCATACACACTGTACATACAATGCATACACACTGACTGACTGAGTTTAGTTTTACGCCGCTTTTTAGCAATATTCCAGCAATATCACGGCGGGGGACACCAGAAATGGGCTTAACACATTGTGCCCATGTGGGGAATCGAACCCGGGTCTTCGGCGTGACGAGCCAACGCTTTAACCACTAGGCTACCCCACCGCCCCCAATGCATACACAAGTTACAATGATTATTTATTCGCACATGGGACCGAGATATGTTACAAGTTACATGCATCTTACGATCAGTGAAATGTTTCGCCTTGATTTCACCCATGGTAGCGGAGTCCACACAGAAGTTACAAACACATTCAAGCTGAAGAAAAGTTGAATATACACTTCATGCAAGCTATGTACGAGTCTTAACCATTTATGTCAGGATAAATCAAACTATTTCCAGCATAGAATGTTGAAAAAGTATATTGACATGTACAATATATTCTTGTTATTAAAACTTCAGTTATGTGTATGTGGAAACAGTTTGAATGCTTTTTAGTTATCCTATGATTTTTCCTCAGAGTTCTTGTGTTTTTGTATCAATTTCCCTGCCACCATTCAGTATCTTCCACTGGAGACTTGTCACACCTTGTCACACCTTGTCACATCCTACATCGTTACCTCTCGTTACAATATATGGTGTAGGTGTGTTAAAGGATGGGGACAGAGAAGAAGAAAATATTGATATGTTATTCATATTGTTCACTTGGAGCAGGAGCGTCCCAGTGATTACATATAATTGCTGTTGATAATCTCCTAGCCTGTGTTGTCATGATTTAAGGTCCTATAGTTTTTCTGGGTTATTAACTTTCTAAAGAAAAGAAAAGATTTCAGGTGCAGAAGTGTATGAAAAGAAAATATAATTCCTATTTCTTAAGAAAAAATACAAAAGCACCGATACGGTCCATTATTGTCATTTTATTCCTCCTTTGTCAAACACACCATCAGAAAAACCCCAACATACATCTACCATTTTAAATTACCCCATTTGCTTTTGTGGAACAGTCGCACCTTACTTTCCTCCTACGTTTCCCAGCTGACTATTATTTTCACATATGGCCGATATTGACAACTGGAATACTTGTATTTCAAGGTGAAAAAGGTAAATTGCAGTCAGGCTTTGTGTCCAAGCCAATTATCTCGTCTATAATGTTCCCATCAACGCATGCCTGTCGCCTGCAATCTTCTCCGTTAAGGCTTCTTTTTTTTCATCGTTGCTATTGAGGCATGTGGTTTTGAAATCCCTCACAAAGCCTGGACAATGGTGCATCACTCTTCCCATGCACTTGTAAGTCAAGGGTCATTATCAACAGGCAGACTATTGTTGGAGATTTACTGTTGAAATGGCAGCTTCTGTCACAGATTGCATTCAGGTGATAAATCTAGGAAGGAGTTATCTCCCTTTACTTGTGTCATTTGGCATACTGTTAACCTAGCCATTAGTAAATGTATTTAAATGTTACAAATTACAGTTTTAAGAAAGCTAAGTTTTATTTCAGCTGACTTCTCAGTTTATTTTCCTGAATTAAATGAAACTCATTTGAGAGTACTCTCTTTACTATTCTTTCACTATTCAGAAATATTCAGCCTCACATCATAAGTAAAAAAAAACGTGAAACCCAATTGTTGAATGGCATTGAAATGTGATACAGGCATGATCAGATCGATGTCTTCTTTTTGAATCAGTATATAAGAACAGTCAGTATTCTCAAAGAATAGATGTGAGGTGTATTTCTAAAGCGAATATCTTAAATAAAAAAAATCAACAAAATATGATAAAAAATCATGACTTCAATTATTCATAATGTTTGCCCAGGTGGATATCTTTTATATATTTTTGTAACTCTCATTGACAAATATCAAGAAGTAAAAAATAAAGTTGTTATTCATAATTGTGTCAGTATTATCCCTAAATCTTTCAGTACATCCCATATTCACCTTCATTAAGATCCACTATATGTTTACCTCTAAACATCTCAGAATTGCATCACTTTGAGCTAGCTAGACAATCCCACAGCAAGCTCACGTATCATGGTGTTATTAAAATATACTGTTTTAAGTAGTAATGAACCAAACATAGAAACAGAAAATACATCAGTCAAGTCTGATTACCAGAATATGTAAACTACTGTAAAGATATATAGAGATATAGATAATGATATATAGATAGATAAAGATATATTTAGTAAGTGACCTATGATTTTCCAGATAAATAACATGTATCTCTGATTGTATCTATCTCACCTTCCATAGTACACATCTTTAAATAATTGATAATGAGAATGTTTGGAATGGCTCCCCTTTGAGGCCCTAGCGCTGTTGACATAATCTCGTTCACTGTCTGGTCATGGGAGAAAATTAAGCCCCAGGAATTCCTACAAAGGGTCAGTAGTGGTGGCCCGTTATCCAATCTATTGTCACTGGCCTCCTCTCCTCCCAGCCAGCTGATAGATGCCCCAACAAAAGGCCTGCATTCTAACATGGAATCCAGTCATCTATCAGCTGTGTTGATGTTTTCATGTTGTAGAAATTAGCATCTGTTTGGAAACGGCTGTGCAGAACATTGGTGTCTGAAGCTAAAGTTGTGGGGGAATAAAGTTGTGATTGATTTGTTGGTGGTGAATGTTTCGTTACTGGGTTTTATTAGGTTTAAGGGATTGTAATGCAATTAATCAGCTGGGTTCTGAAATTTATGAGATATTTCATATGCCTTGGTATCAGATCCAGGTAAGCAGCACAGCTGTTGTCTGTTACACCTGATTCCTCTGTTGACTTGAAATTGTAGATCCACAGGAAATAATCTATGGTCTTGTGATTATATTTGTGACAAATAGAAATAATGATAATTTTACAAAATATACAATGTTTTTACAATTTTTCACTTTAAGAAACTATTATGGGATGTGGATGTCCACAATCCACAATCAATCTCAGTATGTGAAATTGTAGATCCACAGGAAATAATTTATGGTCTTGTGATTATATTTGTGACAAATAGAAATAATGATACTTTTACAAAATGTACAATGTTTTTACACTTTTCACTTTAAGAAACTATTATGGGATGTGGATGTCCCCAAACCACAATCAATCTCAGTATGTGTTTGGACAACAAGGTATCCTTAATATTAGACTATGTATGCATGTCCTTGCTTTTGAATTCACAGTTTAAAATTATTTGTGAATTTGTATGAAAAGATCACTGAAACATGATCCTTTTCTTTAGACGTAAGTGACTATGATTTTATGCAGTTTTTAGCAATATTACAGCAGTTTCATGGTGAGGGACAACAGAAATGGGCTTCACATGTTGTACCTATGGGGAATCTAATCCGGTCTTTTCCTTTAGACGTAAGTGACTATGATTTTCTGCAGTTTTTAGCAATATTACAGCAGTTTCATGGTGAGGGACAACAGAAATGGGCTTCACATGTTGTACCTATGGGGAATCTAATCCGGTCTTTTCCTTTAGACGTAAGTGACTATGATTTTATGCAGTGTTTAGCAATATTCCAGCAATTTCATGGTGAGGGACAACAGAAATGGGCTTCCAGGTTGTACCTATGGGGGATCTAATCCGGCCTTTTCCTTTAGACGTAAGTGACTATGATTTTCTGCAGTTTTTAGCAATATTCCAGCAGTTTCATGGTGAGGGACAACAGAAATGGGCTTCACATGTTGTACCTATGGGGAATCTAATCCGGTCTTTTCCTTTAGACGTAAGTGACTATGATTTTCTGCAGTTTTTAGCAATATTACAGCAGTTTCATGGTGAGGGACAACAGAAATGGGCTTCACATGTTGTACCTATGGGGAATCTAATCCGGTCTTTTCCTTTAGACGTAAGTGACTATGATTTTATGCAGTTTTTAGCAATATTCCAGCAATTTCATGGTGAGGGACAACAGAAATGGGCTTTACGTGTTGTACCTATGGGGGATCTAATCCGGTCTTTTCCTTTAGACGTAAGTGACTATGATTTTATGCAGTGTTTAGCAATATTCCAGCAATTTCATAGTGAGGGACAACAGAAATGGGCTTCACGTGTTGTACCTATGGGGGATCTAATCCGGTCTTTTCCTTTAGACGTAAGTGACTATGATTTTCTGCAGTTTTTAGCAATATTCCAGCAGTTTCATGGTGAGGGACAATAGTAATGGGCTTCACATGTTGTACCTATGGGGAATCTAATCTGGTCTTTGGCGAGATGAGCAAACACATTAACCACTGGGCTACCCACAGCCGACTTCATTTAGAATACAAGTATACCCTTCTAGCATAGGAAGGAAGGGCATCCTTCACCTTCT